GGCCGCCGGGCGCTGGGGCTCTCCGTCGGGGCGGGCAGCTCCGGGGCGCCGGGCTCCGCCGGGGCAGCGGCTCTAGGCTACAAGCAACCGCGAGCTCGCAGCTGCAGCGCTGCTGTGGCCCCAGCCCGGCCTGCCCCCAGGGCACTGGCTGCCTTTGTGCCTAAGCAGGTGTCCGGCTCCCCGCCTCTGCCCTGCTCGGTGGGTGCCCCGGGCCGGGTGCCGGTGCCGCGGGCAGGGATAAGCTTGTGCTCCTGGGCAGCTTCAGGCCCTGCTGCGCTGGTCTCGTGGCTCTCTAAAATGCAGCCCTTGTTCTTGCCCACGGGAGGCCAGTGCCCTCCAAACTCTTCCCCAGGAATCCAGCAGATTTCTAAGAGGAACAAGCAGAAGAACTTGTCTCTGCCGCAAGTGCCCAGGCCATAGCTCTGTGGCTTGGCTGGGCCACGGTGCCCATCTTGTATCCGGTTCTCTGTGGGTCAGATTCTCATTCACATTTGGCTTAAAGTCTGAAAATTAGAAAGGGGAAGAAACTTGCCTTGATCCTCATCATGTGACTCGGATTTCCAGCTCAGGGGAATAATAAACTAGGACCTCTGGCCACCTGGGTGCTGTGCCAGCCCTTGTGATACCATATGCTGTGCCAGCTAAATCAGGATGATGGGAGTTGCGTAGCTTCCTCCTATCCCTAAAACCTGTACCTTGCATTGTCTGTATGATCGTAGGGGAGGTGTTTACTCAGGTCGTCTTGCAAACAACTCCCAGCAGTGCTCAAGTGCTCCTGGAAAATCTCCTGTCTGCTTGGTGCAAGCCCCAGCCTATTCTGCAAGGGACAGCCTACCTGGGCAAGGAAGGTTGGGTGTGGAGCTTGGTGGCCAAACTGCTCTGGGATGTCTCTGCTCCTGTGCGTCTTGCTCGTGGTTCTTGTCCCTAGCCCTGGCTGTAAGAGTGCATTAACCTGCCCTGGTCTGAGAAGGCAGGAGTTGACCTGCCAAAGAAGAGCCCAGTCCCAGGCCCACTGCGGCTGGGGAGAAGTAGCTGGCAGGTGACAGCTTGTTGGGACTGCTCCATCTGGGGCATTGAAGAGCCTGTAGCAGGTAGGGGCTGGCAGTGGTATGTGCATGCCTCTGGGTCACATATAGTCCAGCCACTTTGCAGGTTTGGCCGTTCCAGTTTGTGAGGTGCCTGAGGAGAGCATGTGTTTGCATAGGGCCAACACAGGCAGTGACTACCTTGCCCCCAGGCATCTGACTGCCTGCTGTATCCACACTTGGATCTCAGCTGTCATTGCTGCTGGGGCAGTGCTTTGTGCACAGGGCACTATGGTGAACTGGGTCACGGTGGCAAACATCCAAAGCCACTTGGTAAATTGGCAGTGTCCATTCCAGTTCTGCTCTGCAGAAGTTCCTGGGGGATGTGCTGCTCCACCCCCCAGGCAGAGCTGAGCCCAGGCTTTGCCCCCAGAATAAGCAGGCAGAGGCAGTTTTATCAGCTCAGCTGAGCAAAGGCTCCAGGTACGCTGACACCAACCAACACATGCTGGGGGTCGGGGTTGGGGGAGGTACGGGTGTCATGTGGGAAAAGCTAGTTAGCGGCTCCCTGTCATACCCCTGAACTTAACTTAGGGGCCCTCATTTTGTGGGAGTTAGGGGGTCACCTTCCAGCAAGAGACCAAGCTGGAGGTCAGTTTAGTTCTCTAGAGTTCATGACAGGGTGGTCTGGGCTTTGAACACTGATGCCCCACCTAGCACTAGAGGTGGTGCAGGCAGGCGTCAGCCAAGAGTGCCTGATACAGCCAACAGCCAGCTCAGTTGTGGCAAGGGCACTCTATCAGGGAGCATGGGAAATAAAGCTGAGGCTGCTCCAGGCAGGGTAGTCGAGCCCTCATCTACAGGTCTTCTGTGTCTGCCTGAGGTTGTGCTAGCCCCTGAAGATCATATGCCTGGGCTCCTGGTACTTGCTTTTTCTCCATTGTGTGGAATTGTCTGCCTCCATGTTGGCTTCAATGAACTAAACCTGATTTCCCCCCCACCCCCATGTTCTGGTGTTCAACTAATGGCTCTTTCTCCCACAAGGCAGTTTAGCTTGTCCCTTCATTGAAATATTTCCTTCAGTAGCTCCTGGCTTAGCCATCTTGGCAGCTTCTGGGATCCCTGTGGCAGCCTTACATACTGCTCTATGCCAGACCTTCTCCTGCCCAATCCCTGCTGGTGACCAGCCATTTGGGTCAGGGGATGGTGATATAGGAGTCAACCTGCTCCTAAGGGACTTCCTGTGCTGCTGCCCATGCAGGCCCAGCTCTCCCTGAGCCTTGGATCCTCCTTTCCTGTCCCTCTTTTAGGATGGCCTGAAGCAGACGCCCCTGTATGACTTCCATCGGCAGCATGGTGGGAAAATGGTGCCCTTTGCTGGCTGGAGCATGCCCGTGCAGTATACCTACAGCCACCTGGAGTCCCACATGCACACAAGGCAACACTGCTCCCTCTTTGATGTGTCCCACATGCTCCAGGTAGTGTTGGGGAGAGGGGCTGTACCTGGGGAACACTGTGGGGCTTTTCTTCTAGTCCCTCCTGTCAGAAGGCCCCATACTACCTATAGACATCAGTGGCTGAAGGCTCCTTCTTGAGGAGATGGGAAACAAGTCAAGGCAGAGAGTAAAGGACTCAGGAGTCCTTTTCTCTGGGTCACTAAGACCAACTCTTTTCCCCACATTTTACATTGGGCACTGGACATGTTCTTAAGTACAAGAGTGCCCACACCTTCCAGGAGGGCATGGTCTGGCTTGGAGCCCTCTCAGTGGAGTGAGGCTATATTCTAGCACTCCAGATGGTGCTGGCACAACGATAGGGTGGAGCCCTCCAGTAGGCACTAGCATGGGGCTCTGTGTGGTGGCAGGGGTTGGCAGAGGCAGGGGGTGGTGTTGGCAATTGGGACTCAATGGCATCTCTTCCCCAGACCAAAGTGTTTGGCCGTGATCGGGTGAAGTTCATGGAGAGCCTGGTGGTTGGGGACATCGCTGAGCTCAAGCCTGACCAGGTATGGTGGTTGTGGGCCTCTGCAAATTCACATACTCTCCTGGGCATAGGGAGGCCCCTACTCATGGCTCAGATTAGTGTTTTTCTGGATGTGTGGCCTTGTTCCAAAGGATCTAGTCAGGGACGGTCAAGGCCAACTCCCTGGCTTGGGTCTTGCCAGCACTGATGCAGTCAGATGGCTCCTTCATCACCCTATGTCCTGCTCAGGCCACAAGTGCAAGGACCTCAGCAGCTCTTGGTCACAAAGAAGACATTGCCCAGAACACAAAAGCACTTCAGAAGTTACCCCATTGTCCGTTCAGGAGCAGTCCAAGGCTGGGCTGATAGGGCTTGGAGTAAGGGGCACCAGCAGAGCTAGCAGGAGCTCAGGACTCATATTGCAGGAGCCTCTCATAAGGGGACTCTTAGATGATAGCTACCTCTTGCCCTGCCTGACATTTCCTTGAGGAGTTGGAATGGAGAAGTCTGAGTCCAGCCTGGTGATATTGCCTGTGACCACATGGGGGTGAGCACGGCCATCCCTGGGGGTGCAAACTGGGGCAACCGCCCCGGGCCCCACGCTTTGGGGAGCTGGGCGGAGCTGCCGGCTTCACATCCAGCCACTTGGCACCCCCACTCCCTCCTCCCTGCCATATCTGCCACCGGCTTCCTTGCGTCCAGGGGTGGGGCCCCACACAGGCTCTTTTGCTCTGGGCCTCACACCCTGCTCAAATCGTCTCTGGGGTGAGTATGGCTTTTCTTTCCAGGGCACACTGTCTCTGTTCACTAATGAGAAGGGAGGCATAATTGATGATTTAATTGTGACCAGCACTTCGGAGCAGCACCTGTATGTGGTGTCCAATGCAGGCTGCAGTGACAAGGACTTGGCTCTCATGCAGGTATGGAGAAATCAGTGTGGCCTGGTAGACCCTGGGGATCTGGTCCAGGTCCCAGGAGTACTGGTGCAGGTCAGTTTGCTACTGGGCTCTAGCTGTCCCATGTCTATTGCTAACCTGCCTGATGCCTTGATTGCAGACCAGAGCACAGGAGCTGAGAGCAGCAGGCAGTGATGTGCACTTGGAGGTCTGGGAGAATGCACTGCTGGCTCTGCAAGGTAAGATGGTCCTTACACAGGGGGGACATCACAGCTTATTGCATATGTGCTTGTGACAGCCAGGCATTCACACTTTTCTGGGAGGGTAAAGTTACTTCTGAGCACCAAAGCAGGGGCAGGGATCAGCTATGCTGAGGTCCTTCCACCTCTCAGCCCCATCTCATAATGCTCTATCCTCTATTCTGGGTCAGTTTGAAGCACTAGCTCTCTCCTGGCGTGCTGACAGAGCTGAGAGGGGACTCCAATGGCTAGGGCTCATCCAGAGCCACTCCCAAAACCTTACAGAAGCAAAGGGCACAGGAACTGGGTGGGATTCACTGCAAAAGAGAGTTGGAGAATGCAAGCCCCTATGCAGGGCTGTCCCTGGGGGGGACGAATTGGGGTGACCGCCTTGGGCCCCAGGCTTTGGGGGCCCCATGGAGCCACCAGCTTCACATCCGGCCACTCAGCACCCCCAGCCGCTGAATCTGCTGCCGGCTTCCTCAGGGCAGGCCCTGCACAGGCTGATTTGCCCTGGGCCCCACACCCTGCTCAGATTGTCTCTGCCCCTATGCCCCAGAGTTACTCCATGCAGAAATTCAGATGAGGGCATGAGTCTTCCAGCTGAGGCTCCAACTCAACCTTTTCTCCTGGTATCTCTTGGGGCAGGGAGTCTTCCAGATCCTTAGTTGCTTTGTGGCTCTCTCAGCACTACAGCTCTCCCCCACAGCATAGGGAGACTGGATCCTAATGGCATCCCTGTCTGTGTGCAGGTCCCTCAGCAGTGCGGGTGCTGCAAGCAGGTGTGTCAGATGACCTGGCCAAGTTGCCTTTCATGAGCAGCGCTGTGATGGATGTGTTTGGAGTGCCAGGCTGTAGGGTTACGCGCTGTGGCTACACTGGAGAGGATGGCGTGGAGGTACTATGTAGGGCTGGAGGCCCCTGGAGCCTTGGAGGTGCTGGCCACTGCCCTGGTTGGTGTGTGATAGGAAGTTGTCTCTGTTGGAGGGTGTAATATGCCATGATTAGCACTGCTTAGATGGGGTGGAGAGTGCTGGGTACTCTTATTTTGCTTAGGTGGGAGTGGGGAAGGCAGGATGGACAGTTTGTCCATGGGGGTGCTGAGCACTGACCTGTCAGCTCCACCCCTGCCCAGATCTCGGTGCCTGCCAGGCGTGTGGTGGAGCTAGCTGAGCAGCTGCTTGATGACCCTGACGTCTGGCTGGCAGGGCTTGCGGCTAGGGATAGTCTGCGCCTGGAGGCAGGGCTCTGTCTCTATGGAAATGACATTGACGAGACCACCACACCTGTGGAAGCCAGTCTGGTGTGGACCCTGGGTAGGTGCAAGCGGCGTCCGTGGATCCCTTCTAGCAACCCCCAGATCCCAGCTGGGCCCTGGTGGTCACCTCCCTCACCAGGCCCAGCTGGGTCCCAGTGCTCAGCCTGGCAGCTGTGGCCAGTGTGAGCTACTTGTCAACAATGACAGGGGAGGAGGAAGAGAGCTGATGTGGGAAGACTGGGCACCTTGAGGGCAGGTGCTTAGAGACATTATGCCCTGGGAATTGTGATGGCAGCTCTGGAACTGGTTAGTTATGGGTGGCAGAAGCTGGTATGGGAATGACAGCCGCTACAGGGAAGCACAAGCTACAGCATTGTTGCTGGGGGGTACATGTGGGTGTAGAGCCTAGAGGGTTACTGAGATGGAGGAGGGGCTATCCTGGCTGCCTTGTCTTCTTGCCTCCAGGAAAGCGGCGCCGTGCAGCCATGGACTTTCCTGGTGCTGCCATCATTGTGCCACAGATCAAAGAGAAGCCCAAGCACAAACGAGTGGGGCTGATGTCCACTGGGCCCCCGATCCGTCAGCACACTCGTATCTTGGATCTGGAAGGCCAGACTGTTGGTAGGTGTGGGAGCCGAGCCATCCCTTCTGGAAAGTGCCCAGGCCAACCAGCCAACCCACTAGTGGTTAGGGTGGGGTACGGTCACAATGCATCTCTCCACCTTGCTCTGCTGTAGCCCAGGGTGATTTGGGGCTTTGCTCAAGGATAACCCTTTCCCTTTCAAACCTCCTTCTTTGTGCACAGGCTCCAGTGTCAGAACTCTGTTCATACAGGTACTGCCCTGTTACTGGATCAGTACCAATGGGGTGGGGGGGGAGGAGAAGAGCACCCTTTGGCTGACCAGCATGTACTGTCTCTTGTCCCAGTACTGGACTGACCTGCAAGTTCCAGCTACCTCCCTCTACTGCAGGCATACAGCCAACCTCTCCCAGCTGTAACTCATTCTCTCTGCCTGAGGGCCCAGCACACTCATGGATACAGTGCCCCAGCAGGAGTGTGGCTGGAGCATCCACACCCTTCCCCAGTTAACCCATCCTTTTTGTCCTGGTTGGACCCAGGCACAGTGACCAGTGGCTGCCCCTCCCCCTGCCTGCAGAAGAACATTGCCATGGGCTACATCAAGAGTGAGCACAGCAAGGTGGACACAGCGCTGACTGTGGAAGTAAGGAAGAGGAAGTACTCTGCCCTTGTCACCAAGATGCCCTTTGTGCCCACCCACTACTACACAATCAAGTGAGGTGCTTACTGCTAGTTTTAGGGGAGCCAAGCCAACTTTCCCCAACAGTGATCCTTGCTCCTGGAGGCTCCTGTGGTGGGGGTAGGGGGAACTGCTCAGGGTACTTCTGTACTAGGAAGCACATCAGCCCGAAAGCAGTAAGGGGACAAGGGCTTCCCCAATACTTCTTGTAGGGGCCTATGCCCATGAAGAGCCGGGGTCCCAAAGCAGTGAGTTGCCAGGAGCCTTTTAGGCCCTTATCTTATCCCATGGCTAATGCTGGATAGGGTCCGTCTCCATGGGAAGCCATTGCTCTTTCATGCAGGACTCAACAAACATCTGTCTGTGCTGCTGTTTTACGCCCCTGGTTTCTGTCTGGCCAGGCTTTGGCTAGCTGCCGTTCACGCAGCACTTGTGCCATACACTGCCAGCAGCTTCCTACCAGGCATTAAACCAGCAGAGTAAATGTTGACCCCCCTCCCCTCTAATTTTTTGTAATTGGGTTGATAATTGCCCCCATTAAAGATCCTAGCTCTTCTCATTCCCCATTTCTTCATTGATAGTTTCTCTGTGTTGGGCCTGTGCCCAGAAACTGCTTAGGTAACAGCACAGGCAGAAGACTGTCCAAGTTCTGCTGTCCACAGACAGCGGCCTCATATGGATCTTTTCCTTGCCCTTTTCTCCATCTCTGGAAGGAGCATATTTTCTAAGGGTCCTGTAAAGCACTGCTTCCAGGAGCCTGGGCCTGCCAGCCCAAGGCAGGAACAGGGCACAGCAGAAGGCACTAGGACATGGTCAGTACGCTTTTATGCCTGTGGAAGGCAGTGCCACCCCTTATACTTCTGCACTCCATCAGAGGGGGGTTTCTGCTCCCTCTCAGTGCCTCAGACAGCTCAGGATGGAGGCTCCCAGAACCCTATGCTGTGTGGGGGTTATGGCCTCAGGCCAAGAGGGGCAGTAATACCCAGTAAAGAAGTAACACCCAGTGGAGCAAATTACATTCCTCTGCTGGGCACAGAAACAGAGCAAGTGAGCTGGGGCTACCTGCCAGGGGGCTCACTAGGACACAGTAACATCCAATCATGCTCTTCACTTGGATGGCTGTAGCAGATGGGCGCCCCCATACTGCCATATACTTACTTCACTTTCCTGCAGATGTGTGGGGAGGCAGACAGCATGTTCCTACCTGGACGGGACAAAGGTAGCCACAGCTCCAGACAGCTGAATCAAGCAGCACAGGGCTAGCAGCAAAGCAGAGCCAAAGTACCCCCAGCAAAGCAACAAACCCCATGGGCTCCCAACTCAACTCCCAGCTGCCCCCCCCCCCCATTAGGTGTCGTAGAAGTGAGGGGAAAACAGAACTCTGTCCTAACATGCCCAAGGAATGGAGACACCCAGATCAAACCAGAGAAGAGGCTTTAATCCACCAATGCTCTATGGCACAAGGTACCAGCACAGTTCCAGTCAGCAGCCTGAGTACTTACATGGGTAGGAAAGAGCCAGGGTCAGAGGAGCCACATACAAGGCACAGGCAGCCACCAGCTATCAGGGGTTGGGAAGTGGCTGAAGGCATCTATGGTTACAGTTCTGACCTGGGCTCCAGGATGCTGTGTTCCATGGCAAGGTCTTCCAGTGGGGCCTGCAGAGTCACTCACTGCTCCTGGCCTGGAGAAAACCAGGATGGTGCCCTCTTCTGGGTGATGTGGCAAGGAAATGTTACCAGACCCTTACTCAGGAGCCAGTGCATCCTCAAGTCTAGGTGGCATCTTGACTCTCACTCTACAGGAGCTGGCTCTAAGCAGAGGTGGGCCCACCAGCTGCAGGGCAGAACTTGGAGGGTACCAGAACAGAGGGAAAGCAGTTGAGGGGCTGTATAGAAACTGAAGTCACCACCACCTCTTGCATCCCCAGTGCTACACTCAAGTATGCATTAGCCAGCTAGTGGTGCTAAAGTAGGGCAACAGGAAAACCTGGAACCGTTGCCAACCCCCTACTCAAAGACAGGTAAGTATAGCAGCTCTTTATGGCTAGATAACTATTTTAGGTAACTAAGGAGGCTTGGACAAATGCATCCTGCTAGTCTGCTCTTTTTTCCCCTTCAACAGCCTGTACCTAGCCAGGAGCCCTGGTCATCCAAGAGTGCCCTGCTCCATTAAGGAGGAGCAGATGGACCAGAGAGAAGTCTCAAGCTCTTTATGGTGTTTAGGTGATGTCAGGGAACATGGCAGGGGAGGCAGGACAACACACCACCTTGGCACAGAAGGCATGCACAGTTCATCCCATGGCAGTGGAGGGAAAAGGGACTTGGTCAGACAATTTCTAATTAAGGAACACAGATAGGAAAAGCCAAAGCAGCAGGAAGTATTTGAGCAGACAGAAGTTGGGATGCTGGGGGCAGGGTGAAGAGACTCACAGCACTTGCACTATGTATGGGGGAGGGTTTAAACTGAGGCTGTCAGGGCAAGAACTAAGCATAACACTGAATGCTGCTGTGGAGGCCTGGTAAGTTTCCTGCTCTGGTGCAGGAGCCAACATCCACTACATGGGGATAATGCAAATACAATTAGTAGTGAATAAGCAGAAAATAGCACCTCCTGCCCAAAGACAAGGCAGGTCAAAGTCCATCCTAGAGGAGTTCTCACAGTACTCTGTGCAGCTGTGCACGCAGGTTACCAGTGGCATCAGAGCCCAGTGAAAGGGAGTAGATGGCTGCAGTCTCCAAAGCAGTGAAGAAGCAAGGCCAATTCCCCCAGTCTCTCCGCAGGCCTGAAAACAGTGTCAGGGACTGTGGGCACCATTCCAGATGTGCCTGGAGTGGCAGAAGCACACTATACCAGCTCATCCATTCATCACTCTCGGTGTGTTTTCACAGACTCAGTGCTTGAACTTTCCCTGAGGGAGAGAGAAGGAGGTAGGCACTGGAATCAGTGCCTGCAGTGATTCGCAGGTGCCCAGCACATCCCTGGGCAGGTATAGAGGCTTCCAGGCCAAACTAGCCAAGACAAACTAAAGGGAAGCAGGCAGACTAGGTGGAAAGCTCCCCAGCTCCCCAACCTCCCCAGCCCCACAGTGCAGATGGTGTGGTAGTTTCCCCTGCTGGTGGAGAAGCAGCCACTAGATCCAGTCAGTATCAGACTCCTGCATTCTGAGTCCATGTTCCTGGCTGCAGGACCACTGGCACCAAGGGGAGAAAAGGGCACAGCAGAATGGTAGTGGGGAGGTATACCATATGAGCACATACCAACCATTTTCAAACCAATGCAAGAGACATCTGTAGCTAGTGACAAATTTCTTCCAACTATGAAAGTTTCTGTGGCTACTACCAGGCCCACCAGCTCAGAGGACAGGTCTGCAGGAACTCACCAAGAAGGGAAATGTGAGGAGCCATCTGGGGTCCCTCCATTCTGGCCTCCCATGCCTGCAGACAGGAGGAAGTGTAGTCATTGAGCTAGTAGGGATCCACAGCCAGACAATCCAGCATGCACCTTGCTAGCCACGAGCCAAGAGGCAGGGAGACCTTGGGACAAGACAGTCCCTGCCTGACTGGGTGAAACATCTCCGTGTGCCCGAGGGCTAGGCATTGTCCCCTTCTGGGGCAAGGAGGGAAGCAGCATTACAGGGAACAACCAGGCATTCTCCAGCTGCAAGCCCTCTTCTGGGATCAGTGACTTTTCATTGGTTTGGTGGATGGGAGGCCTGGCCTAGAACTGCCCCCCCCCCGGTG